TCCATGAAAATAACACAGGTGAACACCTTGATTCCTCATCCAGATGCATTTTCCTTGGTTGCAAGAAGATCTTTCCGTTGATATTTTTGTGCAGTTGGGTGCAATATGCTGCGGGACACTGTTTTTGCTATTGGTTTCCACGAATCCACACCTTTTCTTCACCCACGCAGCTGCCTTTTTCCAGGCCAGCGTGGGGCAACGCGTTTCTACGGCAGAAGAAGCATGCAGAGGCATGTGTTTCCATGGGCCTTCATGGTTTACAACCTGAGCAGACGGCGGTGTTTTGCCAGTGGTTTCCACAAAAATTGCGCAGGTGAAGCATCTAAATTGTAAGCGCCTTGGGTTTCCTTGTTTTTGTTTCTCACCCGCTTGCTTCTCCTCAGAACAACTGTGCAAAGCTATTTTTTACAAAGTTTTACCCTTGGCCGCCATTGTGTGCGCCCGGAGCAGACGGCTGTGCGAGACGAGCCCACCTCTGTTTGCGTCGAGCATCGCTTGCCTTCTCTCAGCATTGGTGCCTTTCCCAGGCGATCGTGGAGCCAAAGCACTTCTACAACAGAAGAAGCGCGCAGAGGCATGCTTTGGACAAGTTTTACTGGCCTTCGTTGTTTGCACCCTGAATGTCTTTCGGTTGATAATTTTCATGTTTTGGTGTAGCTGGATGCTGTGGGAAGGTGTTTTTGCCATTGGTTTCCATGAAAATAACACAGGTGAACACCTTGATTCCTCATCCAGATGCTTTTCCTTGGTTCCTCATCCAGCTGTGTTTTACCAGGCGTGTGTGTGCGTGGCACAAGCGCATCTGGGGAAGAAGAAGCGTGCAGAGGCATGTTGTGGACAGTTTTACTTGCGATGCTTGCAGCTTGTGTGGGTGCAAAGGTCTTTCTGTTGTTGTTTCCCGCAGCTGGAAGCTTTGGGACTCTCTACCGATGATTTCCTGGCAGGGTGCACCATGGACGACATCGAGCTGCTTGAGGAAGGCTTGGTGCCTTGCAAGCTGGTCAAGCGATGGTCCGAGTGCAGTTGCGCATGGGATTTCCAAAACTGCTCTGCAATGGAGACGCCCGATACACGCGGTTTTCAAAGAGGCCCTTGGTCTGCATTTTGGTTTGAGTTGTTCACAAAGCCTGGCTGCTTCGAAAGGAGACGATAATAGACTTTTCTCAAGTTGTGAAGTGCTGAAGTCTGGATTGAAGCTTTTGGAGCCAACGCCAGCAATGTTAATGTCGGAGATTGGGTTGTAGAAATCATGTGGCTTCCAGGGGTCACATGTGATAGAGGCCTGGCTCTAAAGTCTTTCAACGCAGGACTCCGTGCTTGTGGAAAGCCGTGCTTGCAGCTGTCTCACAAGTACTCCTGATTCCAGAAGTGTTTTTTGCCATTGGTTTCCTGCAGAAAGAAACTTGCAAAGACAGCCTTTATAAACTTGACAAAGCTTGGTTGTTTTCTGGTGAGGAACCTGACGGCGGCGACGTCACCACTCAAGAACCCCTGTGATAAGCTGTCCGTCTTGTATTTGGAGCAATGCAGCAATGCAGGTTGCAACAGCTCCTCGAAGGCCCTCACGATTCCACAAATGTATTTTGCCATTGATTTCCCTCATAAGAAACCTGTAAAAACAACCTTTAACTCGACAAACTGTTTCCGAGTGAAGAACCTGACGGTGGTGGCCCAGCCTTGCGATAAACTGTCCGTTTTGCGTTTTCGGTGGCAGAAGCAGCCTCGTGCAGCAATGCGGTTTGCAATAGCTCCTCACAGGCCCTCTCTTGGCCTACATCACTTGTGGTGGGCGCTGTGCGCAGCTGGTGAACCGAAAAGATTTAGCCTTGGCAGTGGGAGCGCTGGTGTTGTCCTTTGGCAGTGGGAGTGCTGCTGTTGTGTTTTGGCAGCGCCACCACACTTTTCCGGAAATTGTTTTCAGAAACATGTGGCTCAGAACTTCCCTTAGCCTAAGCCTGTTTGAGGTTCCGTCTAAGGTCGGCTCCTGTCATGGCTTTGAAACAGGGACGGAACAGCTTGCTGTTTCCGCCTCACTTTTGCCTGCCGGCTTGAAAGAAGTGCCAAAGATTTGCTTGACCATCGGCAAATTTCTCAAGGTTGCTCCTGATGCTCCTGCGCCTGAAGGTCAAGCAGCCGACCAAGTTCCGAAGCGATGTGGACGCCCCAGGAAGGGCCAAGAGCTCAAAGTCGCGAAGCAGACTGGCTCCTTGGTGGCCAGCAATGCCGACGTGCGGAGGAGCAGATCCGCATTCTTCAGCATGACAGCGATGTGGATTGCATTCCCACCGCGCCCTTCCTTCGCCTCGTCAAAGAATCCTTGAGCAACTTGTCGACTATTTGGGCCGGTCGATGAGATCGAACTCCGGATTTCTTCCGCGGCTGTCAAAGTCCTAAAGGAGGCGGTGGAGGCAGGGGCCCAAAATTTTCTTAAAGGAGAAACAAGCATCCGGATTTTTGCACCACTAATGCGTTTGACAGCTGGCCAAAAATGCATTCGTACCCTGTGGAGTCATTTACATCTCAGGCCAAGGGACTGCAGTTCTTGGTGAGGTGCAGCATGCTGGCAGCGCATGCCAACCGGGTGACTATCTTGGACCGCGTCGCAAAGGCTTTGAAGAAGTTGGAAGGCATGAGCGCTTCGTCCGTCTGTGCTTCTAGCCGTTCTAACACGGCATTTGCATTGATGCAATCCGCATTTTCTTTCGAAGAGCTCGTGTTGAACCCCCCCACACCGCAACAGATAGATGACTTCTGGGAATTGTATTCCATGTTGCTGCCAACTCTGCGGTACACAGTGTGGCCTGACCCAGCTACCTTTGACCACATCCGGAGAAGCTACGCGCGCACAAGTGGCGAAGGATCACCGGTGATGCTGTGAGAGTGTGGCCCCGCCTCCTGGTGGGCTTGCTGCATGAAAATGCTCCAGGCTTGGGCACAAGCATTCCAGTGATAGCTGATCACATTGGGGCATTTCTTAAGCCGCTGCCATCGTTTCTGGTGCAACGGATGCCTGGCCGGGTTGAACAGATACCTTTTTCACCCCTCGGATCACACGAGAGCATTACTTGAGAGTATTTCACAAGATACCCAGACGCTTGAAAATAGAACTGCGCATGGAAGTGCAGTGAGAAGCACCTGTATATATTTACATGCGTTTGTTTCATGCCACATATGCAAGCTACTCTGGCTCTGGCTAAAGGAAAACGCAGTCAGCCCCTTTTTGTTTGTTTTTTGTTTTGTTTTGTTTATTTCATCAGGATGGATTGGACCGAATTGTGTCCCTTGTCCAACGCTGAACCCCGTGGTGGCAGCTGATGTTGCATTGGGGCCTGTGGCCACTCGTAAAGAATGCGACCTTGCTGCTGCTACTGCCACCGCCGCTGGAATAGCTGCTTCAGCCGTGCCTGGAACCATTGGAAAAACAGTTTTGATTGCAACGCTTTCTTGGGGCACTAGCTTTGTTGGAGGCCATTGCTTCTGGTTGGAGGCCATTGCAAGTAGCTTGAGGCCATGCTTCTAGGTTGGAGGCCATTCCTTCCAGGTTGGGGGCCATCGCTCTTCCATAAGGAGTTATCTCAAATTTTCGCAGCCCAGGAGCCATCTTTGAAGAGATGTCGGTTGAGCTCGCCTGGTTTGCATATGCTGCTGCCACAGTGCGGCGCCTTTCAGCCACAGCTCTTTGAGAACTTTGACCCGTGTCCAGGTGTGCTTGGGGCTCCGAACCATGGAGTGTTTCTCTCTTTGTATGGGGGCAGTTCCCGTGTGGCCAAATCTTGGCAAGAGATGGGTCGAGAGGCGATCGTGCTGGACACGGCGCACAATGCCGCCAACGACTTGGGAACAAGCGAGGCGCTTGATACGATTCTTCGGATGCTTCAAGCCACAGATCCTGATTGAAAAGCTTTAGTGGGACTGCTTGGGGTGGAGCTCCCTTGCAGTACCTGGAGCCTTTGCAGAGGGCGTGGACGGGGCCCACCTCGGTTGAGGGATTTGCGGCGCATTGATGGGCTTCCTGGCTTGGTCCCCACGAACTTGGAGGTGGCCCAGGCAAACGCCCAGATCAAGAACGCAGTGGGTTGGATTCGTTGCAGCTGCGCGCAAGGTGTTCCCGGATACTTGGAGAGCGGGCGCCGCAGTCTGATCTGGCATCATCCTTTGGCTTTGGAGCTCATTCAGGAGGGGCTTTGCTGGGTCTCTGTTCTAGATCAATGTCAATACGAGACAGAATACAGAAAGCGCACGCTTCTTCTGGTCTGGGGAGTTCCGGAGAATGCCATTAAGATGCAGGGCGCCCAGGGGAATCTGCAGCCGCACTGGCCTGGCACACCTGCACTTGGAGGGTGTTGACCAGAACGGACGTTTCAAGACCGCTGCAGCGCAGGTCTATCCTGTGAAGATGGCTCAGGCGATTGCAATGAAGTTTGCTGGGTATTGACTCTGAATTGTGTGAAAAAACAGTCGCGCGGAGTGCTGGCTCTATACATGTGCAACCCCTTCTATTTCAGACGGTATATTCTACTTGGTTGTCAGTCATCCGTTTTTGCTTCTGAACTAGGTAGGGCCCCACCATGCCCCACCTAAACGATATTTTTCGATTGAGACATGTGACGTAAAGAAACAACCTTAATGGGGCCCCTTCTTTTCAACATTGTTTTTGGTATTCATGTTGGGCATGCTTTATACTTCAAAAAATACAATATATATATATAGATAGATAGATACCAGCAGTCACGTTCGACGGGGTGCGATCCATGGAGGAAGTCGGGGTGCCCAGAACATCCACTCATTTTGGGACAACAAACCACCCAACTCCATGTGACTCCTGGTATATATAATTGTTTTTTAGGCACCTCCGACATCGGGAGCCAGACCAAACCTGATGAAGCCTCGCACACCTCGATGCACTCGTCGCTGCAGCGCGCGCGAAGGAAGCCGCAGAGCAGTATTCCATCGCGTTGCTGAGACTAAAGGACTTTCAGACCGGGAAGACCAGGAAGACCGGGTCAGAAAGCCATAAAACGGAAAAAATAGCAGTGAGTTCCTTAGTATTGCGTATGAATGATGTCAATTTTTCCTATGGTTCCCCCTTCTCGGAATTGGTTTTCTTATTCTTCCCGGTTCCTGGACACCAGATCCAAGGTTCAGATGGCGCAAAACCACTAGTTTCACTTTGAAATCCACTTCCATGTTAGTGAGTCAGAGTGTAAATCATTCAGACTGGTGGAATACTCGCTTCTGGCATGAAATATTACCCTTGTGGGAGCTTCCGAAGAAAGTTATTCCTTGGGTTTGTCCTATGATCATGTTTAGAGAAAGGCCTTTAGTTACCATCATCCACTCTTGCTGGTCTATAGTGGGATATAACTGGAAGTTGATTGACTTGTTGATTGATTGCCTGTATATTACAGAATACACCCAAGCCATTCCCTCCTTCCCCAAGCCTGAGCACTCGAAACCGGCCTCGGGTTTCCGACCGTCACCAAGGTTCCCACCGGTTCGCCGGTGAAACCGTCCGATGCGGACGGGTCGGTTCGAAGCGGTCGTCCGGTCGGACCTCGGTGGCACATCGGAGTGTTCGCCAAGCAGACTCAGGGTGATCACCATGCGTGTGTACCAGGGCCTAGGGGTCACAGACCTCATGAAGCTCCATGGAGTTGATGCAGAAAAAGGGTCGTGCTCAGGTACGAGTTCGACACGACCCAGGTTGTACTGGACCTGTGGTGTCATCACATGAGGGGGTTGAGGGCTTTCAGGGATGGCGATGCAGGTAGCATGTATATCAACCCTGTGGGTCAGAACGAGCCAGCTGGGGGCCAGGTGCTTCACCAAACCCACCAGGATCGCAGGATCGCCCCTTAGACACCACCAGGATGTTCTCCAGTTGGTCCCGCATCGCAGGAATTGGCCCAAGAGGTCCAAAGCGGAGAGTCTGTGACTCTGAAGGCCTTGTTGTTGGCCAACCGATCCCAGGCCCGGGGCGAAACCGATCCCAGGGATCGGACTCATCACCCAGGCCGTACCAGGAGAGGTTGAGAGACCTGAACGGGTCGGACCCTGGTCTGTGGTACATATGGGATGGGCGACCTTGGGGCTGTTCAACCTCTCTAGGTAGGGGATGGGTACCATCATGTACCATCTAATCCATGAACAGAGATGCGATCTCGATGTGTCGACCTTGCCCGTATTTTCAGGATTGCTATGTCCATTTGCCGACGTGAGGCCTAGCCTTCTGTTCGACTGCCCCGAAAAGAGATTTGGGGATGTCGATCGACCACCCACCTCCTGTGAATGGTAAAAGGTATTTTTGGGGTCTTTCCTTTTAAACCTGTAACAGTCATTGGACTAAATATACTCTTGGATGGTGCGAGTCTTTGGGTTTCTAGGGGATATGCAATTAATATACAATTAATATACCAGCACCTTCAAAGGGGTCACCTGGCTGGAAGCCCCAGCCCTTTTTCAGGTCCAGGTATACATGTTTACGTGCCTACTAATTGTATGGAACCGTCCAAAAATGGCACCAGTTCTTTACTGGAAGGTTTCTTCGTCTTGCATTGCATCCACACCAACTCGCCGGACCCATCCATGGTTCAGGCCAACTTGAAGCTGGAAGATTGGGTCCTTGGGCGACACCGAAACGGTTGAAGCGGCGAAACGGTGGGGAAAGCCATGGCCAGACCGGTCGGGCCTCACATGTACCAAACCGCAAGTGGCGCACGTGGCAAGCGCCACGTTTATGGCGTTCTTTTCGGTCAATGAAGGTCATGGTACGATGTTTCGATCGCCACGTGGTTTGGAGGAATTGCACACCATGTGTTGTGATAGTTTAGGAGCTGCACAGTGCCGTTCAAATCCTTATCCTGGTGTGGCTTAGGAAAAGGATGGAAAAGGTATTTTGTTCCTTTGAATTTTGAGTGAATCCCCTTCTGGCGAAGCATGCTTTTTTCCCCGGATCCTGGACAGAAAATTTGATCATAGCAGGAGGCGTGATGTGGATTTTGTTGGAGCAAGACCTGATGGCTTTTGCATCACAAGACACCAAGTGAAAAATGAGGGTCGTCGATTGATATGCTTCGATACTCCATAGATTCCAGCACCCCAACTGGACGCCTGAAAGTGCACCGACTTGTGAACGCAGAGTCCAAACCCAGCTCGGATCCACCTTTGAAACGAAGGTACGGCTGGACCTGCCAAGTAAGCCATCAAAGTGTCGAGCACATCACCTGATGTCAGAGGGTCGGATCCAGGGTCAATCCACCGACCTACACGAGAACCGGTTTTGAGGCCTTGGAGTTGAAACCTGTCACGGGTGAGTGACGATCCGGAGTTCTCCCGGCGATGTCAGCCAAGTCGTGCAGGGTAGGAGTAGCTGGTGTGGCCGTTTTGGGCATAGTTCACTCATTTTAGCTCCATTGCAGTGGTTGAAAAGTGGATCAATGTATTTAGGTAATGTTGACTGTTGATAAAACCTCCCATATATTCCCATATCAAGAAGAGGTGTTACAATCCAAATGGGAGGGTTTAAGTATCAATCATAGATTCCAGTCCCACAGGTCTTGGCACAGCAAAAAAGTGGAGTTCAATGTTCCATGCGAGACGGGCTCGTCCGTTGGGAGTTCGTCTTGAAACGAGAGACATCTACCAGGACCTTCCAAGGGGTGCCCTGGCTGGGTTCGCCCCAGCCCACCACTCAGGGACCTCCAGACAGGACACCCCTTGAAGGTCCAGGTAGGTACATCCTCCAAGAAGTCCTCAGCCTTCCAAGATCAGGTCCGTCGCGGCAGTAGCCCCTTAGCCTTCCAATAGACCAGCTTTTGTAGGGTCCCTAGTCCGCAAAGCGATGGTTGTGGGGGGAATGTCCATTAAATCAAGAAGACCTAGGGAAATCTCTTGTTCCAAAAGCACCATGTTGGTGGATCTGTGGTGTCTATTCATAGCCCCTTAGTGGTTGGCCATTAACCACCCCGACCATGGGTCCTGGTACGTGTTTTATGGGCTTTGTCACGCAATTCCATAACCAAATGCCTCTCCAAGCCACGCATAGTTTTGAGGAGCAGGCTCTTGCGGATGCAGAGGCCTGCCTTGCCATTCAGCCGGACCACCCTAAGGCAGGGGATGGAGGGAGATCGTGCCACCAATGGAGCAATACATCTTCCTGACAATCAGTTTCCTGTTGATGGAGCTCCATGGGCCATTTTTTCTCCCATGAAGCTTCTGATTCTCCTCCAAAAGCATGGGGTCAAACTCCCCCCCAGGTGTCACCGCTGCTCCTCGCGCGCCCAACACACGCCCTGCACGCCCGCCCCCGCGAGGCCTTGCACCGCCGCAGCGTGGCCAAGGAGGCGCTGGACCGCGCGGCGCAACGCCGGAGCCACGGAGAGGCGCGGTGGGTCCAGACGCGCGACCTCCGGGCCGGACCCCCAGTGCCGGACCAGCTGGAGGCGGTTTCTGAGAGGTGTTTTGCATGGTTTTGCTGCCGATGTGGAACCCATATGGAACCCATGGGTAGACGCAAAGCTACTGGTTTCCAAGGTGGGTTCGGTGTTTTGGGGGGAGTCCTTCTTGGGGTGCGTGACCTTCTAGATGACCAGAGTGCATGTTCCGTACCTTTGGGGGCAGGTGTTCGAGCTACTACCGATTCGAAGTTGTGGTTCACTTCGGCTTTCGCTTAAGCCTTTAAGCTTTACTTAGGTGCGATGCTTCTTGACGCATGACTGGTCGGTTGAGGTCAATCGAACGCACGACACATGGACCATAGGCACATGTCACAGACGTAGCCGATGCGAATGAACGCTGACCTATCCCTATCGCTACTAGGAGCAAGGGCGCTACTAGGGGCTCCTGGCCTTGCTACTAGGAACAAGCAGATACTAGGGGCTCCTGGCATCGCTAGAGCA